CACTCCTCAGTGAGTCTTCTCCAGGGGGGCTGAGCTTGGACAGGGAGAGGGATGATGAAACTCCCCCTACTCCCTTGAAGAGAGTTGTGTCTTCTCTGCAAACAAGCCTTCGTAGAGAGGGAATTCTCATAGGAAACCCCATGAAAGCCCCATGACATTCAGAGGGGCCTTCAGTGGCTGTTTGTTCAGTGGTAGGTAGGTAATGAGTCACTGAGCAGCCATTGATGACAACCCACTATCAGACCTTGCCTGTGACTTTGGCTCCTGGTCCCTAGAGAGAAAGCATTGCCGTCTGTTGACCTGTGCCATTCTTTTAAGACTTGTCCAAAAACTCTTCTCTGTTTCTTCATTAGATGCTTTTTCATTCCATGACCATTCTGAAGCAGTTGGGCTCTGATCTCTCTGAAGAGAGGAAATGTGCTTCTTGCTTTTGTCTCCTCCCTGCTTAGCACTGTGCCTGCACATAGTAGGCCCTCTGTAAAGAGTGCCGGAAGATTGTAGTTTGCATGCGCGATTGTGACAGTGAAGATGATGAGTGCACTGAGGTCAAGACGGGGCCTCCCCACCTTTCTAGGCATCGTCACGATGTCTGGCACAGTGCTGCACATGTACGTAGAACTGAACTCACCCTTGAGGCGTTTAATCCATAGTCATTCTCTCAGTTTGCTGAAAAGGACCAGTGGTGATAAATGCTAGGTCTGTGTCTCCCAATAACCTGGCATTCCAAGGAAGAAAGAGGTGGGCGTGGTCTTCTGACATCGGAGAAGGGACAAAGGGCACAGTTGATAGGGCGTTGGAAACCACCTTGGAGGTTTCCTCTAGAGAAACAAGAATTTCTCCCTTTTATTGAAGATGCCAAATGAGGCCTGGCACGAAACATGGATTCATATGTTTTTTGTGTGTGCAAACAATATGTCCATTATAGAACAGTTTTATATTTCCTCATCTGACTTGAAAGGGTGGCGCTTTGTATAAACCACATTGTTTGAGCTGAAAATTGAATTCTACAGATTTCATTTTGATAAGAGAATTCTGGCTTTGTCGCCAACCAACATTTTGAGAAGTCACATAAAGAAGCAATGCCTTAAAAACATTTTCTTAGCATGCTAATTCTGGTAGGTAGCATCATTCTCTACACTTACTTAACTTGTTGCCTCCCAAACATTCTTTGTTTAATCAGAAGTGTGTGCCGGCCAAGATAATAATCTTGGACTAAATACCACTTCCTTTTTTCTCTTTTTTTGGTGGCAGCTTCCATGTCTGTGTCACACAGGCTGTGCCAATGATGCCAGAACCATCATCACCATCATCACCACCATCATTATGATCATCAACATGAACACACATTGAGATCTGTCTATGTGCCAGACATCTTGCTAAGCTCTTCATATGCATTGTCTTGTTTAATACCCCATAAACCTTATAGGGAGATTGCATTGTTATCCCTATTTTACAGATGGGGAAATGGAGCTCAGAAGGTTAAATAGCTAGCCCAAGGTCTTTGGAGCTGCCTGGGCAATGCAGAGCATGCACTCTTTAAAAAAAATTAATGGATTGATCTTAGAAAGAGAGGAAAGAGGAAAGAGAGAGGAGAGAGAGAAACGTTCATTTGTTGTTCCACTTATTGATGGATTAACTGGTTGATTCTTTTATGTGCCTCGACCAGGGATTGAACCTGCACCTTCAGTGTATTGAGACGACTCTCTAACCAACTGAATTACCTGGCCAGGGCTCAAAGCATGTATTCTTGAGCACCGCCTCATATGAAGTACAGTGATGAACACCACGCATTCTCTGGGGGCTTTTGAGCTGCCTCAGCTTTGGAAGACACCATGGCATGGTAGAAAGAGCTTCAGTGCTCAAGGCAGGCAGACCTCTGTCCTAACCCCAGCACTGTCATTGATGCAGTTAAGTGACTTTGGGCAAGTTGTTTAATTTAGGGGAGCTTTGCTCTCCTCATCCTTAAAAGGAAAAATAATATTTGTGAAGGACGGGTGCCTACAACTCAGTACAAGCTTAATAATAATGTTCAATTATTGGGCACTTACTGTGTGTCAGACTAAGAACTTCATTTTCATGGATTATGTCATTTAATTATCAAAGTTAACTCCATGAGATTGGTGCTTTTATTTTACTTTCATTCTATAGATGGTAAATTGCAGCTGAGGGAGATTGTTACTTGACAGATACCAGTATATATTTTTTCCTAATCCTCTCCCAAGGACATGTTTCCGTTGATTTTTAGAGAGAGAGAGAGACAGGGAGAAAGAGACATCAATGTGATAGAGAAACATTGATCAGTTGCCTCTAGTATGTGCCCCAACCGGGGATTAAACCTGCATCCTAGGCACGTGCCCTGACTGGGAATCGAACTGGCAACTTTTGGTGCATGGAAGGACGCTCAGACCATCTGTGCCATGCAACCAGGGTGACAGACACCAGTTTTGGAGTCAGATAAACCTGTGTTGGAAAGGTAACTCTTTTAATGAACTGTTTCTTGACCTTGAAAAAATCCTTTTTTTGTCCCTGAAGCTCTGTGCCCATGCTCGATATATGAATGATCACCTCATCTGGGTGCGGTAGAAATGGAAGGACCTAAGGGAGGTAGTCAGAAATGTCCATTTCTTTCCCATCCCTCTCATAGAACCCTTGCCACATCATCTTCCTCTAAATTCCATAGTGTGCTGTGTCTTTCTTACGACCTGCATTTCCAAGGGCCTCCAGTGTTGGGTTCCAGTCTCTGAAAAAGTGGGGTTATGTCTTCTTTGTCGTTGGATCCCTCACCTCCCCTTTCACAGGAGCTGGCCCCTTGCAGGCATTCACACACGAATATGTGAATGAATGAAATAAATGAATGTGGGAACAAAGAAATAAGGTGACTCCCCCAGCAGGAGGCTCCATGCCTGAGCCTTCATTGGAACTGGCTGCTTTGGCTCAGCACGCGGGCCATGCAGTGGACAGAAACCTGTCTCTCCATTGCCACTGCCGTCCCCTTACAGCAAGGAGAAATGCTAACTGATCCCCTTCTGATAGGAAAGCAGTCATCAAGCCTGAGAGTCCATGTGCCAGAGGAGAAATGAGTCACAGCCATTGCACCGTGTAGGAAGGACGAACTGGGAGGCAAACTGCTAGCATGTTCCAGGGTTTGCCTCTCGGTACTGTGAGCTTTGCAGTCTGGCCAGGAGTGAGCTTTTTACCATAAACATTCAGGGCATGCTGCTTATGTTTTAAAAGTGACGTGTTTTAATTTCCAGCCAAAAATACTATATGTTTGGATTGCAGTTTCTCAAGTTGCTAAAAAATTATTCTGAGGAGATGAAAACCTGCCATGCGGTGGAGGAAGCAGCCTGATGTTTAATGCAAAGCCTAAATCAGTTCTCTGGGAAGCACAGTCTTCTCTCTGGGCCAGACCGTGACAGTGAACTGGTGTCATCTGTGGTCACCTTGGATTCTTGAGGGCATGAAACAATGTCAAGACAATTTGAATTATTTAATTTGTTAGGGGTATATACATATCAGATAAAATAGGGTAGGTTAAGCTGCAAACAACTCTCAATTTCTAATGTCTCATGACAATAAAGGTTACTTTCTTGCTCACCTACAGGTTGCTCAGAGGTTTGCAGGAGGCCCTGCTTCATGTCTCCTCATGAGGGACCTTGTCTACATGGTGGAGCATTGAACGTTGCCAGTCACCTTAGCAGGAGAGAGCTTGGAAGAGCTCACAATGGTGGCCGAACAGTTCAATGCTCTATCCCAGAAGCCACATGTGTCACCTCTCCTGACCTCTCATTGATGAGGACTGGTCACCTGGCTGCATCCAGCCACAAGGAGCCAGGAAAGGCAACTGTATTCTGTGTCTGGAAGGAGAACCCACACATCAGCAGGCAGCACCACCACGTCCCACGTTGGGTATTTAATGCACATGAGACCCTGGCGAGAGAAGAGAGAAATCATAATCCTATCTCCAGGGAAGAGACAGTTTGACTCTTAGATTAAAAAAAAAGAAAATCCATTCTGAGATACATACAAGATTATTTTTCTCTCTCCTTTAACTTCTAAGGAATTGTTTATAAATTTTCTCAGCACTTGAAAAACAACAAAGCCATTAGAGTTGAGATGGATTCTCTAGCGTGTGTGTATGCGTGTGTGTGTGTGTGTATGTGTGTGTGTGGTGTAGCTAATAGACCAGAAGACAGAGGCAGAAAGTGCTTCAGTCTAGTGTGATCAAAGCTTTCCCAAAGCCACCCAAGGACTCTGAGGCGAATGGGAAGCTGGTGAATCTGTAATGTCCAGTCCAATGGTTTGGTCTAGAATAGGCTCATTAAAGACCTGCTAAACGGAGAAGATTCAACAGACCTTGTGGTTGGAAGTTGCTTCCTTTCTTCAAGTAGTTCAGTGATACGTGGGCCTCAAAATGTCTAGGTTGGCCCGCAGGCAGGCAGGCAGGCAGGCTCACATGGGGCACGCCCCCTCTCAGGAAGAACAGTGGCGAGGCCAGGTGGCATCGAGAATAATGCCAATGACAAATGCAACCTCTCCCATCTGCCCACACCCATAATTTAGTGCTGCCGACAGCCCTTTGCAGGAGACTGAGCATCATTATCCCTATTTCTCCCAGGACAGGCCCCGGGCCCAGAGAGATAAAATAATCTGCTAAAGCTTGTCTGGTTACTAAGTGGTAGAGCCAGGATTTAAACCCAGGCATATGGGTGTCAGGTCCAATGCACTTTTCATTGCAGTGTCTGTGGGAGCTAAGAGCTTATCTGTCCCTAGTTCATGGTTACCGACAGAAATATTCATGTCTTCCCCAAATTTGTATGTGGAAGCCTGCACCCCCAAATGTGGTGGCATTAGGAGGTGAGGCCTTTGTGAAATAATTACACTTTGATGAGGCCATCAGAGTGGAGCTTCCTCTTAGAAGAGGAAGAGAGACGAGAGCTCGCTCTCTCTCTCCACCACGTAAGCACGCAGCAAGAAGGTGGCTGCCCGTGAGCCACAAAGGGTTTTCACCAGGAACTGAATATGCCAGCACTTTCGTCTTGGACTTTCTAGCCTCCGGAGCCATGAGAAATAAATGTCTGTTGTTTCAGCAACTCAATCCACAACACAGGCTTGCCTGGGAGACACAGCAGGCTCTGTCCTCGGCCATCACAGTGCAGGGAGCATCGCAATGAGGGGAGTCACGCACAGGTTTTGGCTTCCCAAATATGTAAGTTATGTTTATGCTATATTGTAGTTTGTCCTCTATTAAGTGGGCAGTAGCATTATATGTAAAAAAACAACATGCATACTTTAGTTAAAATTACTTTATTGCTAAAAAAAATGCTAATTTTTGTTTTAACAGCTAGAGCAGACTAAGACGTTCACCTTCTTATTAACAGCCTGAAACTCGGACACACGTACTAGGTGTCAGGAAAACCTCCATTTTTGGGGTTCCATGTTCTTAAGGAGTGGCCTTTATTCACCTTCACTAACCAGTCCCCAGAAGAGGACTGATTTACTTGACGAGCAAGCTTCAGAGAAGGAACTGAGCATGCTCAGCTCAGCCTTCTCTGTATTTTCTCAGATCCACCTTCAGGGAGTTTGCCTTCAAGGTAGTACTAGGTAGTAAGTTTCCCAGGGCAGGCTGTGCCCTGTGTGGGAGGTACAAGGTGGTCAGTCCATTTACTGAACAAGGGAAATGACGCTGAAGTAAAGTGCCGGGAAGTCCACTGTGGCCTCAGGTCTAAAGTCGTGTTCTTCAAATCACCTTCAAAGATAATATTTTGATTTCTGTCTGTGTCCCAAGTCTTACGTCTTGGTTGGTTCCAAACTTACTCATGGAAGGGCAGAACAGAATGGCGTTTGTGGTCATCCAAAAAATCTGACCGGAAAATGATTACTCAGTTGTGGATGGATGAAGGTCAGTGTTGGATTTTTCAGTCCTTCCGCTTTCTAGTGATTTAAAAAGAAAAAAAGCTGACTGATTTCCAGAGCTCTGTGAGAAGGCCTGCGTTTAATTTATGTCTGAATTCCTCATGCCTAATACAGTTCCTGGTCCATGGTAGAACCTTAGTGTTTGTAGACCAAATAAAGCCCACTGCTGGTTCAGGAAGCCAGGCCGGGACAATGGACAGGGAACTTGAGATGGCTTGAGAAGTCCTGACCCTTGGGCTTTGGGGGGTTGGCAAGAGACAAGGACAGCAGCTCTTGCAAAAGCTCTGTGCAGGGAGCCGAGACGACCCGACTCACTGCCAGGCCCTGGTGATGGGCCTTCCTGCCCACGCAGGTTTGACCCTCAGCTCAGGTCTGTTTTGTGTGAGGCTCCTGATCAAACAGGAAGAAAGCTTGGCCGGGGAGCCCTGTTCTAGTCTTGTCTGCAGCAGTGCATATGGGGCCCAAGAGGAGCATTCTGCACCCTGGGCCCTGTTGGGTGGGTCACATGAATCCTGGACTCTGTCTTGGTCAAAGACTCAATTCCTACAGAAATTTGAAAAGTTTATGTATGTCTGTTTTTCTGTAAATGCATCATATTCTGTGCACCTATAAAAGATGTACATGTATAAACATTTTACTTCAGGTTTCATTACTTTGAAATCCAAGCCTGTGGTCTTCCTCTCTGTTAAAGCAGAGGAAGACTTGGTGTTGGGGTTTGTGCTCAGGATCTGGTATTCAATCACCTGGATTCAGTCCCCGCCCACACCCCTGCCCCCACCCCTTATATTTCCCCAGCCAATAGCACTCTGGAGAAATGCAATCCCATCAGGAGGAATTACCTGTCCTTCACTGGTTCGGACCTTTGCCTCTTATTTTAGGTTCCCCAGCCTCTTAATCACCCACACCCTTCAAATTATTTCTGGGTGCCTTCCATGTGATCAAGAACAACTGGAGTCACTTGGAAGTGGTTTCCACCTATTCCTTTCTCCTCTGATGCCCACTGCTAAAGGGGTTGCTGATTAAAGCTTTCTGAGCACAGAAAGGAGTGCCTGACTAAGTGTGTATGTTAGGGTTTTCCAGACAAAGAGAACCAATAGGAAGAATATATAGATTTATGCCCTGGCTGGTGTAGCTCAGTGGATTGAGCACCGGTCTATGGACCAAAGAGCTATCAGTTCGATTCCCAGTCAGGGCACATTCCTGGGTTGCAGGCTAGGTCCCCAGTGGGGGGCATGTGAGAGATAACCATGCATTGATGTTTCTCTCCCTCTCGATCTCCCTCTCTCTAAAAATAAATAAATAAATAATTTTTTAAATGAATATAGTGATTTATTACAAGGAATTGCCCATATTATTAAGGAAACAAGAGCTGCAGCTGGTAAGCTGGAGACCCAGGAGGGCCCGTGGGGTAAATCCAAGGGCAGAAGACCAATGTTCCAGCTCAGACAGTCAGGCAGGTGAAGTTCCCTCTTACTCGGTCGTTTTGGTCTATTCAAGTTCTCAAGCAATTGGGTGGGATTTTGCTCAATGTATCAGTTCAAACACGAATCGAACCCCAAAACACCTTCCCAGGCACATCCAGAATAATGTTTGACCAAATGTCTGGGCTGATCAATTGGCATATAAAATTAACCATTACAACAGGTAGCCAGCATATATCATTTAATTAGTTAGCTGGTTAATTTATTAATGAGTGAAAATGTTATTGCTGCAAGGTCCCTTATCACCATAGGTGGAGGCTCCTGCTGATGTTCCTAAAACGGTCCTGAGCCAGCTTCAGACTGTGCAGAAGCTGCCCTGCTAAGGTGAGGAGGGTATTGTCACCCTCACAGTCCCCTGACACATACCAGTGTGCAGCCAGCTGCATAGTTTGTGAGGATCCCCAAGATGGCTTCTCTGGGCTCCCGTCATCTCACTGAGATCCTCTGTGCCAACCACAGTTTAGCTTCTTCCTGCTGCTCGTCTCTCTGGGACTGAGATCTTCATGGACAAGGGCTGGCCTGGCCCACATCGACGAGCGTGATCCAGAGAAACTGTCCTCCTTAACCTCTCCCACTCAGGGCGTACATTCCCTCCAACTCCTCCAGCCCCCTCCTTGTTAACCCACCCTCCCCCGAGATGCTGTAATGAGCCCCTTCACCATTAGACTGGTGCTAAACCAAGCTTTTCACAGACGCACATGGAACATAGGAATCCAGTGCCAGCAAGGCCTTCAGCAGCCAGATCCCTTTGCCTGATGCTTCTGTCAGCATATGCTTCCATGATGGCCAAGGTGTTTACAAGCTCATTGTCACACATTGTGTGGGCAGAGTGATAGCCCTTATTAAGTGCTTTGTCCTCGTCACCTCTGTAGGTCACTGTCAGTGGATGAGCTGTCTCTGCTCTTCTCCACTGGACCAAGTCCAGGCTGTTCCCAGTGACTGGCTTGGTGACTCTCATTAGAAACTGGTTGTTTGTGTGCCCCACAAGTTCATATGTTTAAACTTACCCCCCCCCCAAAGTGATGGTATTTGGAGGTGAAGCCTTTGGGAGGTAGACAGGTCATGAGAATAGAGCCTCGGGCACAGGATTGGTGGACTTGTAAAAGACAGCCCAGGGGGCTTGCCTGTGCCTTTCATCCTGTGAGGACACACTGAGAAGATGGCTGTCTGTGAGACAGGAAGTGGTCTTTCACCGGACCCCAACTCTGCTAGCACCTTGATCTTGGACTTCCCAGCCTCTAGAACTGCGAGAGAGACATTTCTGTTGTCCATTAGCCACCCGATCTGATATTTTTGTTGTAACGGCCTGCACAGACGAAGGCAGGTGTATTCCTATGGAGGGCACTCTGGGTTGTGGAGAAAAGAGGCAGAATCCTGGCTCCCTCGTGGTTGTTTACCCTCCCCTGTACCTCAAGGCTTGAATCTGCTTTCCACCTTTACCATGTGCTGAGTCTTTTAACCTCTGTTTGCACATGCCCAAGGTAGGGGCTCTTGTTAATACCAAATGCAACATGTCTCATTGCTAATCGCCCTGGCAATAATAGTAATGGTGCCACTATGATAATAATAATAATTACACATATCATTTATAGAGCACTTCCATATGCCAAGTGCCAAGTACTTTACATGGATTATCTCACTTAATCCTCTCAAGAACTCTATGAAGTAAGCAGACACTTTTATTATTTCTGTTTTATAGACACAGATGCTGATGCACAGAGGTGTTAAGGAACGGCTAAGTAGTGATTCAAATCTAGATTGTGCAACTCCAAAGCTGGAACATTTAAATACCTTATTGCATTTTATCTTCCTCTTTTCCATCTCTTGGCTCCAGGCTTGCTCTTTTAGAACCCACAGGCCAAGTCTTCTCACTCCTTCCCGTAACAGCCCTTCAGAGTTTTGCAAACAGCAGTTGCGGCCTCTGCACCATGTACTTTTCCATTCTTTTTTAAAAAATAATTTTAAAAAAGATTTTTATTTATTTATCTTTAGAGGGGAAGGGAAGGCAAAAGGGAGAGAAACATCAATGTATGGTTGCCTCCCATGTGTCCCCTGCTGGGAACTGGTCTGCAACCCAGGCATGTGCCTTGACTAGGAATTGAACTGCAATCCTTTGGCTTGTAGGCTACACCAGCCAGGGCTGTACTTTTCCATTCTTAAGAGCCCCGATGCAGGCCCTTCCCTATTCTTACCATGACATGGCTTCCAACCTCCCCCCATCCAGGTTGCCATCCTCCCCAAGGACTCCAGTTGGTTGTGTCCCCTTTGCAGAGTTCACAAGGGACCATAGGCTCAGGTAACAGATAGGAACAGGGCTCTCACATTTTTTATTTGGGACACTGGGGACCTACATTTAAAATGCTGACTCCTTCCTTAGCTCCATGTCAGTAAAATCCCCAGTGGGAATTTTCTCATTGGCGGTAGCTGCTAAGTTTTTCCTTCCCTGTCTTGTACTTGAGCAGTTTTCTGTATGAACTCAAGAGCTGGACCTGACAATCATGTCTATTAAGAATCTTCAGCAATGACAGTCTCACTAGGGATTAGACTCACAAATCAGAGCCCAGTTTTTCAAGCAACTGGTAGTTTCATACTCGCCTTGGTTGGCAAAGTCATGGGGTTTGTCAATCTCAAAAGGGATCTCTCCTTTTTGCAAAGGAAAGTGATAAGATCTGAAGTCCGAAGACCCGAGTTCTAGTCCCAGGTATGAACCTGTTAAACTAGCTGACTGACTAGCCCGTGGCTTCCCCTCTCACTGGCACAGGCCATCGGTAACAGGTTCAATTTAGCAGTGTCTGGGGATGCGCTGCCCTGCAGCCCAGTGCCTGGGTGCGAATCCTGGCTCTGCCCCTAAGAAGCTGTGTGACCTTAGGCAGTCTCTCTCTGACTCAGTTTTTCCATCCACAGAGTGGGAATACTAGTAGTGCTACCTTGAGTTGCTTTGAGGATCAGCCAAGTTGATGGGTGTAAAGCACCAAGAACACTACCAGCTATGTAGGAAAAACAGTATTAAATCACCACTTACACTTATTGTAAAACAATAACTGTGCAAGATAGAAATACAGTGCGTGAACTGTTATTTACCGGAGTTATTTAGTGTTTGTGTAGTAGGACATGTGACATAGCATACAACCAGAGAACAAGGGTCAAATTCTTCAGGTTATATTTACTAAAACAAAAATGATTTAGAAACATATGTGATTGACCAGGGTCAGTTTTTTGTTTCACCTGCACACACACTCCCCCCCTCAACTACTAAGATTTGCTGGAGTAAAGTGGCTTGCGGCAGGGATGGGGGGTGTTGAGGGGGCAGTACAGAGGACAAAGGGGAAGTGGAACAGAAAGAAGAGGGGAAAAGCAGAAGTATTAAATGGCCTCCAGGTCAAAGGAGCTCTATGCTCTTCTCTTCCCCCCACCTAGGCGCCCAGACCAGCACTGAGTGGTGGGGGTGGTGGCAGCTCCTGACTCCCTTGGGGGAGTCAAGGAAGAGAGAGTTTTTGCCTTGCCTGTGAGCAGAGCTTGGAGGAGACACCTCTTGCAGGATTTCCCTGCATGGTGGGGAGCGGTTGACTGGAGGTGGCTATGCAGAGAGATAAGGAAGAGGACCTGAGAGAGCCTCCCAGAGTTCCCTGTGGTCCAACAGGGCATCATGGGAGACACTGAGAGAGCCAGGGTGTATGCTATGCGCTGATTGGCTTAAGTCTGGTTTAGACTGATCATCCTGGGAGCTGAGGGCAGAGTTGAATCACAGGCTATTTCACAAGGGAAGGTGAGTGGACTAGATGTTGGAATGATACCCATGATGCTCACTTACCTCCACTCTGCACCCTGGGGTAGATTTGGGTGTGATTTAGTGGTTGAGGATACAGGCTTTGCAGTCAGAGAAGTCTGGGTTCGAATCCTGGTTTCACCCGACTTTGACTTCAGGACCCATAATACCAACCTTGTTCAGTGTTGTTAGAAGGAAACACTGTGCCTGACCCAGGGCAAGAGCCTAAAAATGGTAGCTATCAACCTTTTGGTTCCTAGATTGTAACCTACTTGGGGGTGGGGATTGAGTGCATCTTTGAGGCCTGTGAGCTCAGCCAGTGCCCAGCATGGAGCGGGTCTTTAGAAAGTGCACGTTTGATGAATAGGTCAACAGCTGCCACCTGTCTCTTACTCAGGAGGCACCGGAAACAAATAAAACCCTCCTCTCAGGTGATTTGGCTCTCATACTATTTTAGAATAGATCTGTCACGGTTCTCTGTCTAGAAGCTTCCAGAAAAGATAGTTCTGGGCACAGGTACAGTACTATACAGGAAATGGGCATAGTAATAATTACTCATTAGGTTGTTGTGAAGATGTGATGAGCTAGTACATATGAAGGCTTAGAACAGTGCCTGGCTCGTGGTGAGCCAGCAGGAAGGGCCAGCTGTCCATGGCATTACCAAGAGGCAACAGTGGTTAAGGGCACAGAGTTTGGACCCAGGTTGCCTGGGTTTAAATAGCAGGTCTGCCATGAGAATTTGGGCAAATCACTTAATCCTCTTGTACTTCGGTTCTTTAATCCTTAAAATGGGGATAATAATAGGATCTATCTCATAGGACTGAAATTTAAATACGTGAAGATACATAAAGCTATTAAAATGGTGTCTGGCATCTAGAGAATGCTATATATATTTAAACATTTTCACTGTTGAAGTTGTTTTTGTAAGTATAGCAACCTCGAAAGGTTTCTCCCCAGAAATTTAAATGCCTCTGATAACGGGAGCCTGCTGAGCAAGGGGGAGCTCTTATCGGATCAGGTTCCGGGGACCCAGAGGCTGGCTAATCCCCCCACCCCCAAAGCTCTGAGTTGCCTGGGTAAGATAGGAGTTGCTGAGTCCAAATTTGCCACTGATGTCACTGGGATCGTTTCTTTCTCCTATTAGTGTCTAATTGGCCCAGTCATAAAAGAGTTAGTTAAAGCCAAGATTTCTTTCAGCCGACCAGCCTGCGAGGCTGTGGCCGAGTTTCCTCCAGGGAAATCGGCTCTAACACAGGCTGGGAGTGAGCCAAGTCCTAATGCGGAGTCCTTTGAAGGTGCGCCCAGCTTCACCATTTCAAATGCAATATGCTTATTGCCCGTCTGATTTTTATTGGGAAAAAGCACTGGTGTACTTTCCAGGTCCCTGGGGTCTGAATTAAAATAAAGGAAGTACTTTAAAAAATCAAATCCAAATAGCAGGGCTTGGAAGCATGCTGTTAGGCAAGGGTATCACAGACCTTGGAAGCTGCTCGCTTGTCCCAGCCCTGAGACAAAGCCCCGTGGTAATTGCATTTGGAGGTCCCAGAGGCATTGGTAATGGGGGCCAGCTTCTCTCAGAGCCCTGTCTACATGGCCAAGCGATCTATTACAAAAGCTACAGCTTATGGAGTACCTACAAATGCTGAGTCCTGAACCACATTATACAGGCTGGGATGGTGGCCACTGTCTTCATTTTACAGATGAGGAAACTGAAGATCAGATTTTTTTAAAGCAAACAGACAAACAACTTTCCTATGGTTATACCAGTAGTAAGTGGCAGAGGTGAGAGCTAATCCGAGGGATTTTTTTTTTTAATTTCAAAAATCATGTGCTTTCCAGAGGCCAGCATTTTCAAATCGATGACTGAGACCTAGTAGTGAGTCATAGAATCACTTTAGTGGGTTGCAACCAGCATTTTCAAAAGTGGAATAAAAAAGAATGGACAATATGACTGCATTGTACGGGTGAGGATAACTGGTATGTATGATATATGTGTGCATATAGTATGTATTGTGTGTATATATACACATACCTACATATAACTATAACATATATGTTTGTATTTTCTGGATGATGTTGCAAAATGTATTTCCTCTTGTGGGTCACAGACAGAAAATTTGAAAAAGCCACTGTTTCAGGCCCTACTGCTTTTCAGCTATTAAGAGCTAATGTTTAATCCTTAAATGGGGATAATAATAGGATCCCCATTTAAGGGGATAATAATAGGATTGTATTCTGTGTTTAAAATGTTTTATGTATGTGGGCTTCATTAATCATTACAACGATGCTACAAATTACTATCATCCCTGTTTACAGATGAGAAGACTGAAGTTCAGAGAGATGAAACAATTGGCCCCAGGTCACAACTCTGAGAAGCAGCAAAGCCTGAGTTTGAACTTAGACTGTTTGGCTTTAACATCTGTGTGCTCAACCTCTCTGCCACGTCTCTGCTCCAGATGTCTCGAGGCCTCCTGACCACCAGCACCATGTGGTCGAGTCCACAGGTTTGGGAAATCGGGGGCCCCAGGAGCAACCGGCTCCGTTCCTGGTGCCAGGCGCCTCTGTCTCTCACCTCTCTCTTTTCATGAGCAAGTCAGGCTCGCAGACCTCTCTGTTGAATCTGCAGCTTCAAATTTCTCTCATCCTCCTCTATTTTAGATTAATTAACCTCCTAATTATTTAGACATTCATTCACCAACTTGTGTGCAATTCAAATCTATTACACTTCAGGGGACGTGCCTGTATCGTGTGTGCTCTGCTGCAAACCCCACGTGGTCAGGGAAGAAGTGGAGGGGGAGATTTGTAGAATCAATTTTTAAAAATTCCGATGCATTTCGGAGGCATCTGAAGTGTTGATGAGATAGCTGGGGTTCTTGGGTGCTTGACTTTTAAATTCACATTTCTGAAAAGCAAGATACAAAATTGATTATACAGTATGATCTCAACTGTGTTAAAAATGTATATAGAAAGGATGGGAAGGGAGTGAGCAGTGGTTGCCTCTGGGTGGTGGGGTGAGGGGTGACTTTGATTTTCTCCTTTTGTGGTTTTTCTACCCCTCCAAATTCCATGCAATTGGTAAAGAGTGTGGCTTTAAAAATCCACTGTGTAAAACTTAATTTGCAGGTAGAATCTGGGATTGTATGTAATTTTAAGGAACAAGTGCAGTTTGTAAGCAAAGTGCATCGTGCTCGGGGTGCTGATTAGGGAGTGCCGGAGCAGCTCGCTGGTAGGGCCCGAGTCACGTGGCTCATCGCGCGTGACACAATGGCCCTGGCCACGTGACTGCTACCCACTCGTTTCCTGATGCCTCCCTCTGATGCGGGGAGCAGCCAGGCCAGAGCCCAGATCCTGCCTCTGAGAGCTACTCCCACGGGTACGGTGAGGACCAGTTGCTCTAAAGCAAACCAGTGCAGAGTCTGAATTCCTAGTGTAGTTGCCCTGGGCTGATCTCTTGCCCTTTTCCCCTTTGTGCCTCCTGGGGCCACGCATGGTATCTGGCCCAGGAGGGATAGTAGACGGGTAAGGATGAATGTGTGAGGCTCCGTATTTGAGCCTCCGCTTAATGTAGAGGGACAATGTGGGTTTGGTTTGTGTATTTACTTTGAATAATGGGACTGAGTGACCCTGGTCGTAGGAGAGTGGTTTGTTGCAGTGCTTCTCCTGAGCCACCTCTCAGGAGAAGAGGTGCGGATGTCCCTCCCGGCCCAGGGGTGGGGGGCAGGGCAATGGGTAGTTAAGCAAATGAACTTCAGAGTTAGAATGTCTTTAGTTTCTAGTATAAAAATAACAGAAAAAACAATAGTGCTGGCTACCAGAGTGTTGTAAAGATGAAACGAGATAATACATGGGAAGCTTTTAGAACGGTGCCTGGGACATGGGAGGTGCTCAGAAGATGTGGATGATCATGATGAGTGATTTCTTGGGGGTGCACTGCTGTGACTGACAGGGCTGGAGTCATAGGTGCACCCCCGAAGTGGGGGTGGTGGTGACATCCAGGCCATAAGGACTGAGAATGGACGAGATGTGCCTTCCAGAGGGAAACCGGAATGGCGTTACTGGAAGACAGACGAAAGGGTTGTGTCGGTGGGTGGGGTGGGGCGGGGCATGGAGTGCTGATGAAATGCACGAATCCACTGCCTTGGAAGAAGAGGACACAGGATTTTCAACTGGCTGAAGACCAGTCTTTGAGTCCCAGATCTTCCATGTGTTGTATACCTGATTAAATCTCTTCTAATTCCGAGCCTCAACACTTCCTGGTCAGGCTTAACATTCACTGTGTCCATACTCCCTAAAGAACTCACTCTGATTTCTTACCCCAGCATACAAAACCTTCCCCCACCTGGGTCTGGGCTTTCCCGGCCTCACATGTAATCTCTGATCTAGCCAGCAGCACCTACTCTCAGTTCTGCTAACATTTCTTGTACATTTACAACACTGTGACTTTGCATATGCTGGTTTTTCCACTTGAATGTTTTTATTCTTTTTACACCAAAAGTCCCTTCTCTTTCTTCAAGATAACAATGGTTGACACTTACTGAGGACTTGCTATGTGCCACGCTCATTATTAAGTGCTTCACATGCGTTAACATATTTAATATTCACAACAAACCTTGGAGTGGGTTCTGTTATTATCTTTTTTACGGATGGGGAAACTGAGGCCACAGTTATTTAAACAATGTGATCAAGATCACACAACTAGCAAGCCACAGACTCGAGAGTCAAACCCATGCAACCCTGACATTGAATGTCCATTTTGGACACTGTAACACATTGCCTTTCTGGCTTTAAGACATCGATGCAATTTAAGGCCAGTCACAGGAGACCCCGAAGGCCTTTAGCTACCCTCAAGTGGCGATTGCCCTCAGGGAGGAGGTATTGCCAAGGCGACGGGCCTTGTCTCACCCAGTACAGTCATGGAGTTATCACCCTGCTTCGTCCTCACCAGGGCCGATGCCGTTGTCACAGTGTCTCCCGCACTTCCCATTTCCCATCTGTTCATGACACCTTTGGCTGCCCCTGCCCTGGTGCACGAGAAGGCAGCTAGAAGAACTGTGAAATCGCTGGTGGCTTTGTCCTGTGTGGCACAGAAACGTGTTCCATGTGGAAATACAGTTTCTATGAGCCCCCCTCTCTCCTGTCTTGATGGCGGCGTGTAAGAGCAGGGAGGGGGGTCGTGGGCCTTTGACTTGGGCGATGAATCCCAGAAGTGCTTCTTTTTACCCTCTTGAATTATGTTTCTAACGATCTGTCTGTACTCCCATACCTGGTCTCCCTTTCATTGTAAGTGTTCACCGCTCCATCTTCTTTGTCCTGGGGTGGTGCCCGCAGGGAGCCACAGCCTGCATGGAAAGGAAACCTGTGAGATCCCAAAGCTCTGCAGACTCGATGGGGTTGGCGGAGACTGGTGGTCCCCTGTGGCTTTGAGAAAGTGTTAACATTTGTGACCGTCCCCTGAGTTTTTTCCCCTTGTCTTGTTCTCAGACATTTGTTTATTCAAATATCAGAGAATTAATCTATTCCTTCAGTCCCTGAGAACCCACTCCAAACCTGGGGTGGCCACTGTCACAACGGCGAATAAGGCAGATTGCCCCTGCTGGTCTGCAGGCTGCCACCTAGAGGGAGAGGCGACCACAGCACGCAAGTTAGAGAGCCGGATAAAATGAATGCCAATTGGAGGAGCAAGTTGTGTGTATAAAAGCCTCAGAGGGAATGAGCATTATTAAGGATACAATTTTAAAAAGAGCTAGAATCAGAGACACCATGTAGAGAAGGACTTCTGTGAAGTGGCCTTGTAAAGACAAGGAGGATTTCAATAGGAAAACGATGGGAAGAAAACCCTTACCAGAATGATTTTTTAAACAGGAAGAAGAACAATTGCCGGCTCTCTTCTTTATCCTTATTTGCCCGATACGGTGTTTGATGAGGAGACAAAACGAGCGAATGAAGGCACGGCCCCTGCATTTGAGGACAGGAGAAGGGAGAAGAGGACAACTGCGTGCCATACGGGCCGCGTGCGGCTCTATAATCATGGCACAAATGAAATATTTTGGGACCATGGGGAAGGGAGATAATCACATGTCACAAAATAGTTGGCATTTGGCTATATTTCTCTTTTTAGTTTCTGACTAGTTCATGATTTCCTGGAAAATGTCATCTCCTTCTCTCCCCTCACCCCTCGGTCTTCATGCCAACATCTTTTCTGCAAACAGATTGGGAGGCAGTTAGTCTATCTCATACTAACAATGACAGCTACACTGATGTCCTGGCTATTGTCACATACCTATGAGATGCTCCACACCACTGGTATTAGTCACTTGTTGCTGCAAATCAAGTTATCCCAAAATTTAGTGCTTTGAAACAATAAGCACTTACTGTCTCCTTCTTTCTGTGAGTTGGGAATCTGCACATGGCTTTGCTGGGACGACCAACCCTGACCTCTCACAAGCTGCAGTCAAGGTGCTGGCCGAGCTGCTCCGCTTGGGGAAGGACCTGCTTCCACACTCACTTTTAGGGTCATTTGCAGGATTCTGTTCCTTTGGGCTGTTGGCTGGAGGCTGCCTCTGCTCCTTGCCATGTGGACCATTCCCTGGAGCAGCTCACAGCAAGGGAGAGGGGCAGAGAGGGAATACAAGCAAGATGGAAGTCACTGTGCCTTGTAACCTAATCTCGGAAGTGACATTCCATCATTTTGGCTCTATTCTATTTGTCTCTAGGTATAGTGTACACTCAAGGGAAAGAGATTTCATGAGGGCGTGTGTACCAGGAGGCAGAGTCAATGGGCAACATTTTAGAAGTACATGACCACCACCACTCTATGGAAGAGGGGTTCTCTCCTTTTGTGGAAAAGGAATCTCAAACTCAGAGACCTTGCTCTGGCTCATGCACTGACTGGTTTAAATTTGGACTTGAACCAGTCTTTTCTCTAAAGCCTGCCTCTTCCCACTACCTCACACTGCCTCCGGTGGCTGATTTAAGTCTCTGAGCACATCCCACGCCCAGAGTCACCTGTTCGGGTGGCTTGGATGACAGCTACGCAGCCCCACGCCAAGGCTCAGACTGCCAAGTCTGCATAACTTTTCCACTCTCCCTGATCTTGAAAGCATTTTTCCATTCTAGTTTGAGACAGCTGTGAGCTGCAGGAGAGGCCAAGTATCTGTTGCCCCGTGAGCAGCTCCCTTCCCGAAAGCTGTAGCACTAACTGCCTAGGGTCTTGTTGAAAGCATGTGAGGGAGAACACGCACCTTGCAGTAATGTCCTTTTCACAGATGAGTAATCAGGAGCGTCCCCGGGTCATTTGGCACAGATGGAGGTAAGGGAGAGAGTCAGATCGTAAATCCAAATAAATTTACAGCCTCATCATCCATCCCATTATTACATCAGGAAGGCTGTGTTTCCCTTTAGTTCTTGAAGGTATGGGAGAGGATTTGCATGTAGAGAACTCAGTCCTGAAGGGCCAAATCCAGCAGGCAGGTTTCTGATCCAGAGTAACCAATGGGACATTGTT